CAAACACTCGATGGTGGTTTAAAGTGAGTTTTGAGTAAAAGCGGAATATAAATCTTATTTCTTATGTAGCATGATGCTACAGTTTGCATGAATGGTAACATAACACGCGCTTTCGGTCGTGTAACGTTAGTATGAACGGACATCTGCATATGATCGGAACACCACGCAGCTCCCGTGCTACTCTCCATTGGAAATTAATGACCGGTCTGTCGCTTGTCATTTGTCGGAGATAGTGGAAAGCCGGCTTGAAACGCAGTGTAAAGGCCAGTATGACAAGAATCGTTTTCATTTTAAAACATAAACGCACCAGTGTAAATATAGCCTTACATCTAAGGGGGTTGGGATGCATTCACACTACAGCCTCACGTGTGCGCCACATCTCTTGAGTGTAACCGGAGTTAACTAGTAGGTGTGTTCGACTTGACGCGGAACGACTGTGCAGACCGATCGGTGTATTACAGTACCACGAGAGCTAAAGAGAGCAGACTGCTCCGTGCGCTTTCGAATCGCTCTCGCGGATGATTGATTTGCACCACACCTCATCTAGTAGAAAACACCGGCTAGTGCTGCAGGCTTATTGGCTCACTGACGCTGATGAGATTAACCCCTTAGGTATCGAAATTTGGTACCGAACAACGAGACGTTTTTCGATACTCGATGGTATCGAGGCAATTCGGTCGTTGCCTAAAAAGTATCGAACTCGATACCCAGCCCTACATATAAACTCCCACCGCCAAATGTATCGCGATTCATTTAACATCACAACCAATATGTTCAACCGGCTCGCGGTGCATCGTTACATCCCTAATTAAAATTGATATTTTCAACCCAGCCTGAATCTTAACTCATCCACAATCCCTCACCTGTTCCCCCTTGGCTTTTGGTACGATACGTTTGTCCTCCATGTCACACTTGTTGCCTAGCAGCATCCTCTCCACATCCTCATTAGCATGCTGCAACAAACATACACACATTTGAGATGATGCATTCTCACTAAATACTGATGTTCAGACAGAGTACTTAAAGTGGCTTCAGAAGTCACAGAAGAAACAGTATTGAAGAACTGAGTTTGCATCAGTGGTGCAATTATGTGAACGACAGGCCACCAAACACACAACCACATCCCTCGTGGAGTCTCATGTTATATGAATTCTCTTGAAATTGCTGATTGTTTGGAAATTCTGCATAACTCATCAGACTGAAAATCAAACAGTCAGCTGTTTCACTCCATGACTATGTATCTGTAAGTTGGTGTTTTTACAGGACTGGAACTTCAAAAGTCCTACACCAGCGGTTCTTAACTCAAAAATGGGTCATAGGTATGTTCTATTTATAACACAGTAATAAAAAGCAACTAACCACATGATCATGCATAGTTAGGCTACTAAAATAAATGGGCTTATTAACTTTTAAAAGGGAAAAGAAAACACTTCCCATATTGTTTTGTCGTTGACGTCAAGAGATGCTTGTCCAAACAAACTCTGTATTTAGGTACAAATTCATTGTGTCTCAAAAACCATGAACAAAACTATGCAAGATAAAGGAAAACTGCATGCAATATGGTTTTACCGGATCAGTCAATTATTGGCCAACATTTTCCTTTTCAGCCCATGTCATAATCATTTTACATGTTTACAAGTTTTTTTATATTTTATTTTAATTAATGTTCGTTACAAGTAATGAAAATATTTTTATGGTTTTCATTTTAGTTGACAATTCTAGTTATGTTAGTTCTTATGAAAATGAGATATTCAGATTCAAATGAGAAATCTAACTCAAAATATTAACAGTATATCAATGATACTAAAATAACTGTTAAATTCTGTCATCATTTACTCACCCTCGTGTTGTTCCAAACCTGTATGCATTTCTTTCTTCTGTTGAACACAAAAAAAATGACATTTTGAAGTATGTTGGTAACCAAACAGTTTTGGTTCCCATTGACTTCTACAGTATTTTTTTTTCATACTGTGGAAGTCAATGGGAACCCGCAACGATTTCGTTACCCACATTCTTCAAAATATCTTCTGTAATGTTCAACAGAAGAAAGAAATTCATACAGGTTTGGAAAATCCTGGTGAGTACATGACAATTTTCATTTTTGCGGGGAACTATCCCTATAAAACATCACTTCCTGAATGGCAGTAATCTGAGGGTTAGAGTAAGGTTGTGTAGAGACTGACCTCATCGATATTTCTGAGCCATTTGCTGATGACCAAACAGTTTTGGTTCCCATTGACTTCTACAGTATTTTTTTTTTCATACTGTGGAAGTCAATGGGAACCCGCAACGATTTCGTTACCCACATTCTTCAAAATATCTTCTGTAATGTTCAACAGAAGAAAGAAATTCATACAGGTTTGGAAAATCCTGGTGAGTACATGACAATTTTCATTTTTGCGGGGAACTATCCCTATAAAACATCACTTCCTGAATGGCAGTAATCTGAGGGTTAGAGTAAGGTTGTGTAGAGACTGACCTCATCGATATTTCTGAGCCATTTGCTGATGTTTTCGAAGCTCTTGGTGTTGGTGATGTCATATACGAGCATGATTCCCATGGCCCCTCTGTAGTAAGAGGTAGTGATGGTGTGAAACCGTTCCTGTCCCGCTGTATCCCTGCACAAACACATCGACAACCACAATCAAACACTAACAGCAGCCCAGACGCTCAGGGACCCAATGGATCACAGAATACAGAAAATCCAAATTTACTTCGGTTGGCAATAACTGGTGACCACAGCTGACTAGTTAAGCACCACCAATTGTTACTAATCAATTCTAAATCATCAACTGTTGTCTTCTGCTATACTTCTGGACAATCAATTGTGTTTCAATAGGCTACTAGGCAATTTCACAGGGAGTATCCAAAATGGGAAAACACAGTATTGGGGAAATAAACATGAGAAACAGAATAAAATCTGATTCCTATTTCAATGAAAATCCACCAAATCTGTAAAACGTACAGATTCAGATTTACGAACGGATTAAATTAAAAAATGGAGCCAAACGTCACGGTTTCTCACATGCAACTGTAATTTGATTAAAGACATTTTTACCTCAATGAGAGTGTAATTATCTGTGCTTTTCTCTTTAATATTTGCAGTAAACAGTGTCTTAAACTAATGTGTCACTGAGACAGCCAAAACTGTTGTTACTGTCGTTACTCCAGAATGATAACATTCTTGGCCACAAGCCAATGAAACTATGAGGAACAACATTATCATTATAGGAATTGTTTGGATGGTAACTTTCCAGATAACTTGTCAATACATTGTTTTATTTTCACACTAAAGCAATTTACATGCATTTGGTGCATGACCGGTGGTAATTTTGTATCCTGCATATAAAAAGGGCTACATAATATATAGAAATTATCTAAATATCGGGGGGGGGTTTGGGGGTGAACAAAGGCCTTCTGTAGCGAATCAATGCGTTTTTGTCTTATATCGAAATCCTCTGACATTCTTCTTTACAAATCCTCGTTTTGTATTTCTAATTCTTGACCGTTGTTTTGTTCTCTCCCCTGCGTTTCCACGTTCGTCACTCCTGAGCGGAGCATGCGCAAAGCCGACCTCATACATCATTCCCCCGGAACTGCTTCTGTTTACAACAGTGAGCGCAAGCTAGATTCAAGTGATTATTATGTTTTGAATATGGATATTTTTCTTACAAAAATGCATCGATTCACTACAGAAGGCCTTTGTTCACCCCCCAGAGCCGTGTGAGACACTTTTTTTTATGGATGGGCGATTTTTATTTAAGTTATTTTGGACTGAAGCAATGCAACACCCACTGAGTGGCATTAAACAGCTTGAAAGATCAAAGACAATTTTTTATATAACTCCGACTGGATTCGTCTGAAAGAAGAAAGTCATGTACACCACGTTTCTAGACTTGGGAACATTTCAGTTGTGTTGCTGTCTATGCAGGGTCAGACAGCTCTCAGATTCCACCAAAAATATCTTAATTTGTGTTCCGAAGATGAACGAAGGTCTTACGGGTTTGAAACGACATGAGGGTGAGTAATTAATGACATAAATTTAATTTTTGGGTGAACTAACCCTTTAAGCAACTTAATTATAATTGGTTTATAAACATTAATCACTTGTTTCACAGATAGTCATGTTATCTTATGCTTTGAATAAACGTGCATTAGTATTATTTTGCTCAATGCGCCCTCTTGTGGCCTCAGAAGAGAAGCCAAAAGCTTTTCTTCACCCTAACTGAAATTATGATTGAATAAATTCGAATATAATTCAAATTTTGATCATATTTAACTCTTTCCCCGCCACTGACGAGTTATCTCGTCTTTTAAAAGAAAACACTTCCCCGCCAAAGACGAGTTTTTACGGCTTTTCGTGTTTTCACTGTTATACACTCGGGGGCGCTATTACGCATCTTCTGAACGAGTACAAAACCTCCCGAACAAAAACACAAGTGAACAGGACGGAGAAACGAGCGATCTCTTATGTAAACAGATGCATATGAAAAATAATGCGATCATCAGCAATAGACCGCATATAAATGAAAACTGCATAACGTTACAGAGTAAAATGTTGATCCAGGAAGTGGTATATGTCTGTGCAAGCTTTGGAGGTGTTGATGGAAGCGATTTACTGGATTTATGCTTTGATAATCGTACTGAATATTATCCAGATGTAGTTTTTGATAAAAATATGATTTTCTCACCTTTTTGCTCAAAATAATGCATTTTTATGAAACCTACCTATATTCAAGTGTTGATAAAAAAAGAATGCTTTAAGCTAGAATAAAAGGGATTTTTTTGTTTAAAGGCTGTTATCTTTATTTTGGTGTATTGCATATTCAAATATTCATACAGCAAAATATACTGGAGGCCATCAAATTTGAGTGAATATCATCAAAATCGCTGGCGGTGGCTGGTAACTTTTTTCAAAATGCTGGCGGGGAAAGAGTTAAGTACAAAATTCTAATTTAGTTTTTCAGTCATTTTGACAGCCCTAATGTTGATTATATCATTTTCAGTTTTTAAATATATTTAAATAATTAAATTTACATAAATTGTATTTAATTTAATATTTCAATTTACATTTAAATCTAAACAGATTTTACACGCATAAAACATGGTTTTATCGCAGAGCACATTATATATAATGAATTTTATAAATATGCAAACACACATTCAGTACTTACCATATCTGTAGCTTTATCTTCTTTCCTTGCAATTCAACTGTTTTGATCTTAAAATCGATTCCTAAAAAGACAGAACAGAAAGACAGAAGTTGAAGACAGACACTTAAAATAAACAGCATTCTGTGAGTTAAACAGAATATTCAATGAGAAAAAAGTTGAATCACTGGAATTTTGTTCACTGAAAATTGATCGGATCCACCTATGCTTTCCATACTAGAATGGAGTCAGATCTGAATGCGAGTTGGCAGTGGATGTAGGGGATCTACTCTCCTCCTGAGACGCTTTTTAGGAGGTTTTTTCATCAGGATGTTGAGGCAAAGTTGAAGACAGACACTTAAAATAAACAGCATTCTGTGAGTTAAACAGAATATTCAATGAGAAAAAAGTTGAATCACTGGAATTTTGTTCACTGAAAATTGATCGGATCCACCTATGCTTTCCATACTAGAATGGAGTCAGATCTGAATGCGAGTTTGCAGTGGATGTAGGGGATCTACTCTCCTCCTGAGACGCTTTTTAGGAGGTTTTTTCATCAGGATGTTGAGGCTGAAGGTCAAGTCAGACTAGGGCTGCACGATTAATCGAAATTAAATCACAAAGGCGATAAATCGCGATTAGGCAGAAGCTGCGATTGTCATGCGTATCTTTCAGTGAAGCACAGTTCTGTGATCAGCAGTAAATCTCCATCTAAAGGCAAGAGGGCGCTCTCACGCTGAACCTCCAAATACGCCCACAGAAGAAACCCAGGAAATCCCTATAGCGGTTGCTGAATAAACAGAAGATTTAACTGCTTTCATTGATTCAACGTGACTAATAAACATACGACTATGGCAATATATTGGTTATCTGAGTTTGTTTTATTATACTAAAGTATATAATAATGTAATGTTAATCGACAGCATTTATCACTGCTTAGAATACTATGAAATATGTTGTGTGCCTTATTCTGTGTAAGAAGCCACATCATCTCACAGAAGGATTTATTTCAAACACTCGACTGACGTTATGAATGTGGTATTATTTTCACATGCTTTCAGATGGAGCAGCATTTACTACACAGAGCCGTAGTTCACTGAGAAGCTACGCAAACATTTCATAATCGCAGAACGTTATCTTCGATTTCATTATCACGCGATTATATCGTCTGTGATTATGAATGTCATTTTACGTAGCTTGTCAGTGAACTACGGCTCTGTGTAGTAAATGCTGCTCCATCTGAAAGCACGTGATGGAGATTTACTACTGATTACAGAACCGGCTTTACTGATGAGATGCGCATGACAATCACATTCGATTAATCGTGCAGCCCTAAGTCACACGGTCCAGAGCTTCTCCATATATCCCAAAGGCTACACTACTTTTCAAGCGGATTGTTATTTGCCATTATTGCTGTAATCTTTAGTACATTAACTAGCTTAAAATTATTCTGTTAACTACTGGTAACTTACTAGTAACTTGGTAAGCTTGCATTGTGCACAACCGTAGCCTACAACAATGACTACATTATCACACTGCCAAAAAAAAGGAAAGTTGTTTCTGAAAAGTTATTACATTTGAAATATTACAATGACAAACAATCTTTCTTGTTTGAAATACACTGATAAATCATACACAATAAGATCAGGAAACTGTATTAAGTGGGAAGGAGGGTCATTTTTATTTACTGTTGACTTCAAGGCCTGTTCACAACGTCATCTTAAACAACAAAACGACAAACGAGTAATAATTTTTTTGCATGCGGAATTTTCATTAGTCACTGTAAAAGTGTGGGCTGTGCAGGCATACATCAGTTTTCCTCTAAGGCTGCTAGCGTAGGAGAAGCTTCTCCAAATGAGAAACAAACCTTAGCATTCACTGGTTAGATACTGTGTTTGTCCTGCTGCACAACTTTATTAGTGATGTTTGCAGAGAGACTTGGACTAGTAAGTGACTCCGACAACACCCTAGCAACCGTGAGCAATGTGCCAAAAAAGAAAAAAACCTTAGCAACCACATAGTGACAGGCTAAAATTAGAAAAAACACATAAAATGCTCAAAATACTTCAGCAATGGCAGAGTAACAACCTAAACCACTCAAAACACCTTAGAAACAGCAAAGTAACAACCTAAATCACTCCAGACACCTTAGCAACTACATAGTAACAACCTAAATAACTCAAAACACCTTAGCAACCACATAGCAATGACCCAAAACTCCTCATGAAACAGGAAAGTATAAAGCTAAATCACTCCAAACACCTTAGCAACTACATAGTAATTACCTAAATCACTCAAAAAACCTTAGCAACCAAAGAGTAACAACCTAAATAACTCAAAACACCTTAGCAACCACATAGCAATGACCCAAAACTCCTCAGAAATAGCAGAGTAACAACCTAAATCACTCAAAACACATTAGCAAGAGTAGGGATGCACCGATATGAAAATTTTGGCCGATACCGATATGGTGGCCGATATATCGTGCATCCCTAAGCAAGAGCATAGTAAGTTAACAAGCTAAACCACTCAAAACACTTTAGAAACACATAGTAATAACAACCTAAACTGCTCAAAGCAATTAAGAACAACATAGTATGTTCTAACTAGGGGTGTAATGGTACACAAAAATGATGGAGGCTTAGAGGCTTCTTTTTTGAGGCTTAGTTTGGTATGTTCGGTACTAGGGATGTAACGGTATGAAAATTTCACATCACGATTATAGTGACCAAAGTTATCACGCAGTGATAGAAATATGATTTAAGACGGTAGTGTAAGCAAGTTTAGTTTGAAAACGTTTAATAGTAAATAAGACACAATTAGACAATATTTGAATAAAATAATAATAATAAATAGTTATTTGCAACAACTGATGGAGTACTGAATGCTGCACGCACGCACAGCATTGTCAAGGTATCATTTGGTCAGTCGTTCCCTTCGCCGAGGGAGTTTCAAACGCTTATATGAGACAGTAATGCCCTGCACCTTTCAAAGAACACACTTCAAGGGCTCTGCCCTTCGAAGGGAGGGCATAGGGATGCTCACTTCTGTTTGGAATTCGCCCCATGTCTCTTGTATCACCGCAGAGTGCGGATGCGCTCTCTTGTTTCATTCAAATACAGCTTGCCGTCTTGCGTCTCAGTTTTTGATTGTATTGAAAATGAAATCAGGAATTTAGTATTAATACTACTATAATTTTGCTGTAGTGATCATATTGTCCTGACGATTTGAGCAAATTTGATGCGTTTCCCCCTTTTGCAGCGACTTTCTTCTTGCAAGATCGGCAGACAGTGTAACCGTCCTCGATTAAATTGCCTTCAGGACTCTTGTAAAAGCCAAAATACGACCAGACCACCGATTTGGTCCTCTTAGATGGCTGAAAAATCTCCCGAGCGCTGTCACTGCCTTCCGCCATTTCATCTCGTGCAAAAAAAAACTAATACATCAACACTGCATGCTGCTTCTGCGTCAGACTGATGCTGGCTGGACAGGATTTACCGCGAGTTTTCAAAATCGCGATAATCAAATACGGTTTTGATGATAATTAAATTTTAAACGATAATACTAACCGTCAGCGCATTTTATCGTGATTTATCATGAAACCGGTAATCGTTCCATCCCTATTCGGTACATCAATGGGAAACATTTTTAATTGCTTATTTTTTCCTTTTTTTTTTATTAAACAGTAATTTACTGAACAAATTATCTTTATATTTAAAAACAATTCTGCCAATGCTGCTGCAACACACGCTTCATACTGCAGTTTATGGTGCTTTTGTATATTAGTAAAGAGATTTCAAGTGCTTCCACTTTTGGATGCAAAATATTTAGGCAAAATGAATATTTTACTCAGAATTACTGCACTCCATCTGTTATTAGTGTATGCGTGTGGTTCTTCACTTACTGTCAGGATGATCCTTTATGCAAAATGGAAATAGTAGCATGACTTTCTAACATTTACAGATAAAGATACAACTGTAAGATGCAAGTTATGCACTAAAAAAAACATGTCTCAAATGGATTAAGCAGCAAACGCATCTGACAGGAGAGCAAGCCGCTTTAAACCCTATGCTTATGAGTTACTCTAAAGCCCTTAATATAAAGCACATCTCATGTTCAGGACAACTTAAATCATGTAATATTCCCACAGCAGCTTATCTCTGTCCTCCATTATTTTTCCGACATATTCATGGGCATGCATGCCGAACCGAAAAACCCATACGGAAAATTTTTGTTGTGCATACGTGTACCATTACATCCCTAACTGCACAAAGACTGACCAACATATTTAGCAGTAATGCTAAGCAGAACTCCAACCACACACACATACACACACAGCTGCATTATGGGTGGGAGCCGCTTTATGAAATGATACCCAAATGAGCAGCCAAAGACTGTCTGTCACTCACACAATACACACAAGCCACCACAGAGACAGAACAGAGCAAGAAAGAGATACGAAGACTATAAAACGAGAAAATTCTGCTGATGTGGACGAACATGAGAATATAAAAACAGTGTGAAAGTTATAGTGGAGAACACACACTCATAGATTAACCTCTGGAAACATGTCAAAGGATTTTTGACTGGACCCTCACACTCACACACACACTGCAGTCGGGTATGTTGGGCTTTAAAAGCAGAAAGTTTGAGCCAAGCTAATGCCATGACTTTAAAGGAACAGCTCACCAAATATGACAATTCTGTTATCTTTTACTTAACCGTCATGTCGTTACAAACCTGCACGACTTGAATGCAAAATAAGATATTTTGCTACTCCATTTCATACAATGAGGACTAAGGCTTTCATTTTTGGGCAAAGCAGTTAACAATAAAAGAGCAGCCTGGATATTCTGCCCAACATCAACAAAGGAAATTAATACTCTGGTTTAAAGTGACAAAAGGGTGAGTAAATGATTTCTGTATCAGTTTGAGAAGCCTGGATTTGGCCACTAAATGTGAGGCTGGTTTAAAACTTGGGTTATACTAGTTCAGAACACAAAGGCCATGGAAGGGTTCCTGACAGGCAGCCAATCAGACCCCTTCCCATGAGCCTCTGCAGCTGTGGGGTCCCTCAAGTGTCCA